GCTGCCTCGTGACAAGAGAACGCCTCGGAGCGACCGCCGACCCGGGCAACTCCAGCCTAACTCCACGCGGGACGGGGGCCGTGAACTCTCGTGCGACAGGGAAGCTTCAAGACATCAAAGGAAGAGAAGACAAACGGCACAGGACACAACCATAAACGTTCGAAGGTCGGCACGGATTGCGTCGATCAGGCGCTAGGACCCCCCCAAGCGCCTTCGGCGCCGCTCCCGACGCGCTCCGCGCGCAAGAAGGAGGGGTCCAACGCCGACCCAAGAAATCCGCGCAGAACCCTGAAAGTTATGTCTGAGCTCCACATCTTCTTCGATACAGCATCAGCCACCGCTCTGCTGGGTGACTCCTGTAGGCGGCCACGTGCGAACCCTACCCCTGCCCCCCACGATTTCTGAGGGGAAGGGAGGGGCTCACTTCGTTCGGGAGCTCCCGAGCGAAGTGCACCCCTACCCTCCCCCTCAGAAGTCGTGGGGGGTTAACCAGCCTCGAACGTATCCCTATCTCTAAGATTGACACGCCAAAAGGCGGTGACAATCTTAGGGATCCGCCCTCAAACAAGAAGGGGATCCCTGAGATAGGCATCGTGATGAGGAGATGCCCAGCATAGGGATAGGGATATGTTCCAGGCTGGTAAGGGGCAGGGGCAGGCCTCGCACGTGGCCCCCTGTCCTGCTCGTGCCAGCGGCACCGGATCGACCCCTACCAGACCGTGACTGCGAGGCGCTGGCTCGAGGCTCGGCGGCGGCGCTGCTCCGGGGCGCTGGCTGGCCGCAGCACGCGCCCCAGCGCACTGCAGGTCAGTGGGGTCGACGAGCTCGGCCGAGGGCAGAGCCTGCCATCGCTCGGACGTCCATTCCCTGTGTTTTTTTTCGGTTTCGTGCGTGGTTTGTTTCGCCAAATGATCAAGGGTGCTCCTCGATGGTCCTCGACGAAGGAAAAATGCACACGTCCGAGCGATGCCAGGAGAAAAAATGGTGCCCAGTAAAACGGGTACTCAGACGTACGAAGAACAACGTAAGCCCGTTTTGGCCGTCAGCATGCTCCCAACGACGGCAGAACCCCCACCCACACACACACACACACACACACACACACACACCACACACACATACACACACCACACACATACGATGTGCCGATGCGTTCAATATGCGGTCTCTGGAAGTCCTTGCCCTCAAGACAGCCATGAGGGCCTCAACACGGAGGAGCGCGCTAGAGTTAGGTCGGGCATGTCCTCCTACAGGCTTGTTTTGGAAGAAGAAATGAAACATAACCAAAAGACTGTTCAAACAGATTCAGAAATAGTATAACAAATCGTCCCCAGGTCATTTACAATTCTTGAATACTCCTCCTGTAGCGAAGGATGTGCCCGACTTAACGCTAGAAGACCACAGTGAGAGCCCAAGACCTCCAAGAGGCTCCACGAGAGCAGGAAGAAGAGGACCGGAGTAAGACGACCGGCGCAGAACAGCGTGCCAAGTTTTAGGTCGGGCGTGTCATCGTATACGCGGATCTTGGACGAGAAATTAAACATAGTCAAGCAACAGTCAAGAATGGTCAAAATTATAGAACAAATCGGCCCCAGACTATTTTTGTACTATTTTTGGAGATTGCTCCTGTAGGGGGACATGCCCGACTGAATTGAGGGGGCCCTGGAACGCACAAATAAATACACACAAATAAAAGGATTCCCCACATTTTCCTATATCTTCTGGGTCTCTGTCTTCCCCCCCTCAGTTCCCATATCTTCCCACATTTTCCTGGGGATCGTCGATGAATCGTGTCTGTGTGTTTTTCTTTCCCTTCTGATTCATCCAAATACCACGGCTCCCCCGAGCCCGAGGCCTCAGGACAGGAGGGGTCGAGCGTTCATGACGGCTTCCCGTGCGCCCCCCTCGAGCAGCCGCCGCCCCGAATATCTGCTGGGCTGACAGGGCCGCAGGACCCTGCCGCAGGAAGCTGGCTCAGGGGAGCTTTTCTCGTCAGCGGCGCGGCGGGGCAATTCGCACCAGCGAGAAAGATTGGGCGCCCGAGTTATCCGGGGGAACTCGGGTCCGGGGTAACTCGGGCTTGGATTCCCGAGAAAGGAACCCGAGTTAGCCCTGACCCGAGTTACCCCTGATGATGTGGGGCTCTGGACGCCCGAGTTATCCGGGGGAACTCGGGTCCGGGGTAACTCGGGCTTGGATTCCCGAAAAAGGAACCCGAGTTAGCCCTGACCCGAGTTATCCCTAATGATTCGGGGCTCTGAAAAGAGCAAAGCAGGGGCACTACTAAGCTAAGTGTCCGGCGTACAAGAGCGGACGGAGGTCAAAGGGGCCGCGGGCGGAGAGGGGAGGAGGCGGCGCTCAGAGGCGCTGGCTAAAAGAAACACCCGTCCAGCGCACAATAGTGGGGGCGCGCAAACATGGATTAGCGATCTATGGATTTGGCGCGCGGGCACCTCCCCCAAAATGCGGCCGGTGCCGCCTCGCTCGGCGGCGGAAATCCGCGATTCCCCGTGGAAACGGGACCCGTCGCTAATCCACGCCCCCCTGATCCATGTTTCGATCGCCTGAAATAGGGGCGGCTGGCTCAGGGAGGGGAACATCGGCCTGGAATTAGCGACACATCGCCGACAGATTGGCGATAGACCCCCCGATAGCGAAACCGCTCGTTCCTGGACGAGGTGGGCTATCAGGCCCCAATCGGCGATGAGTGCGCGATTGGGCATCGATGCCCCCCCGCTGAGCCCATCACCACCTAGCGTTGCCCCTTGGCTTTCGGGTCGTAACTCGGCTCTCCGGCGGCCGCTCGGGACGATCCTCGCACCCACGGAACGCTCTCCGGGAGGCGGAGCTGCTAGAAAGCACCCTGGGGCAGGAAAGGCGCCGAGAGACAGCAACAACATCAACAACATCCACGCCCCCGGTCGTTGCCCCGAACCCCCCCCCCCGCCTCCCCACCCTCGCAAGCTCGCAAGTCACCCGACTTCGCGCCTGGGGCAATCAAGAGGTACAGAACGCTACTCCTCGGACCTCTCCCGGGGTGCTTTCTGACAAAGATTTCGAGGCGAATCCAGCAGTGGCAACGAGGGCCCCCCCGGGAGGACCCCAAAAGCGGAAAAACGAGCCAAAGGCACTCCGAGTTTCTAAACACGCGTCGGGGGGGGGGGGGGCGTCACCCCCGCCGACAGCCCCACATCGACCTCCGTCTCGGGCAGCCACCGCGCGCCGAAGGCGCTCCGACCCCCGTCGCAGCGCGAAGACGAGGCGAGGTTGACCCCCGTCGGGGGGGGGTACCCCCCCACGCTTAGTAAGAAGCCCAGGGCAGCGGCATCGATGCCTTCTCCTCCTCTGACCCGGGGTGTGCGACGCGACGCGCCCTGAGGGGCGCCGCCGCCCCTGCAGAGGGGGCGGGCCCCCAGCCGGGGGCACGACGCGCGAGGCCTGGGCCATCTTTAGGTCGCGCACGTCCTCCTACAGGCGCACTATGGCCGCACAGCAATAACATGGTCAACCATCTTCCAAACAAGTCATCCATAGCTTTCTAAATGCAAGAAAAACCAGCCAACAAACAAAAGACGTCCCAGAAAACACCTCGTGAAACAACAAAAACTAGGTTTGAACACTCCTCCTGTCGAGGGACACGCCCGACTTTTTCGGCCGTCCCCGCGCCCCCCGGGGGCGGTAGTAGGGGGCCACATGTGAACCCTGCCCCTACCCCCCACGATTTCTGAGGGGGAGGGTGGGGTTCACTTCGCTCGGGAGCTCCCGGACGAAGTGAACCCCTCCCTCCCCCTCAGAAATCGTGGGGGGTAGGGGTAGGGTTCGCATGTGGCCCCCTGAAGGCTGTCCTCCAGCGTGCTGCCTCCTGGGGCTGGAGCTGGGCCCACAGATGGCCAATCGGGGAGTTGGCGCCACCATCTTGAAGATCTCGTCGAGATCTACGGCTGTCGGCGGGGGCACTTGCCCTCCGTGGGACGCCGGCGGCGTCGAAGTGGTCGGCCCTGCGCTTGGGGGCTCGAGAGTTCGGACGCCCGAAGTGGGTGCAAAAAACATGGGGCAGGGTTCGCACGTGGCCGCCTAGGTAGGCCCAGGCGCAGCCACGGGGGCGCGCGGGTGGAGAGGCCCGCCCCCCCCGCTCGCGGGGGGGGGAGCAAGGCAGACGGCAGGAAGCCGCTCTCCCGGGGGCTCCCGGCGCCTCGACTCTTTTGAGCCCCGGGCGCTGTCGGTATGCAGGGCAGCTTTTAATGCACATAGGATTTGCTTTAAGAGAAAAGATTGGATTTTGTTGATACATGATGAGTTTATGAATAAATGTATGCATGAACTCATCGCTGTTTTAATACATGATCCGCAAGCGGAGCATGTATTAAAAACGGCACTGTATAGGCTTCGGGCCCCGGGGTCCCCACCGGTCGACCTGGCTGCAACACTGCGCAGGAAGATGAGGCCTCGGGCTCGAGTCGTGGTCTTTGACGGTGTCACCATCGGCGGTGGGCGAGCCTCCCATTTCGCAAACCTCCCTATGAAAGGAAACGGCCCAAGACCGACACCGACGCACCTGGGCCCGCAAGGAGGACGGCCGCGACGCCCTCTCGCGAACCAAAAGCGGCCAATTCGCTCATCGACGTGTCAGGGTAGGAGGCCTAATTATCCACCCCCGACACCACTTTGTCGCGCCGTCGGAGCTCCGGGGCGTGACCGCAGGGGGCCAGGCACGTCACGCTTCGCGCCGGCGCCGCCTGGGAATGCTCACGAACGGGTCATTCCCATACTGCGCTGTCGCGAATCGTGACGTGACCAGGGGGGGGGGTGGGGGGGCTGGGGCCCGTCACAGGCCTTAGCGCGAAGAGAAACAATCAGCCTGGCAGAGAACCCAACCCTTGCTGGACGTGTTGAAGCCATCAGCAGGACCGCCCAATGCACGAGAACCCGTTGGGGACAACGCTCGGCAGGCACTCCCGTTCGTTGGGAACGACGCTCGGCCGCGCCGGCAGGCGGCCCCGAGGGCCCCCGTGGGGCGGGTAACCACGTGAACCCCGTCACTGGCGCCTTCGGTGGAGCTCCCCGTGGGGCGACGAAGCGCGCGAGGGGTCTGCCTCAGTCGGGCGGGGCACCATGTAAATGAAGGGGCCCCAGGACACACAAATAAATACACACAAATAAAATTATTCTCCATATTTTCACATATTTTTAAAATTTTTGTCTTCCCCCCCACTTCCCATATTGTCCCATAGTTTCCTGGGGGTGGACGATTAATTGTGTCTGTGTGTTTTTTCCCCTCCTGAGTAAACCCAGCTTCTCTGGCCGTGCGTGGTGCTCGCTGTGGGACCGCGAGAGATGTGGAGGGTCTGCCGAAGTGGGGCGGTTCGCCACGTGAGCCCCGCCACTGTTGCCGTGTGTGGAGCTCCCTGTGGGGTCACGAGACATGTGAGGGGTCTGTCAAAACGGGGCGGGTCACCGTGCGAACTCAACCACAGGGGCCGTCGGGGGAGCTCCCGATTGGGACGCGAAAGGTGTGAGGGGTCTGCCGAAACGGTGCGGGTCACCATGGGATCCCAACTACTGTGGCCTTGCGTGGAGCTCCGTGGGGCCACGGAGCGTGTCGGGGGTCAGCCGAAATGGGGCGGGCCACCATGCGAACACAGCCACTGGCGCCTTCGGTGGAGCTCCTTGTGGGGTAGGGCGGGCCACCACGTGAACCCTGCCACTGTTGCCTTGTGTGGAGCTCCCCATGGGGTCTCGAAGCGTGTGAGGGGTCTGCCAATGTGGGGTAGGGCGGGCCACCATGCGAACCCAGCCACTGGCGCCCCCGGGTGTGTGCCAACATGAGGCGGGCCATGTGAACCCAGCCACCGGGGCTGTGTGTGAAGCTCCCTAGGGGGCCACGAAGAGTGTGAGGGCTCTGCCAAAATGAGGCTCGTCACCATGCGAACCTAACCACGGGTGCCTCGCGTGGAACTCCCTATGGGGCCACGAAACGTGTCAGGGGTGTGCCGAAGAGGGGCAGGTCACCATGTGAACCCCGGCGGTGTGGCCTGGTATGGAGCTCCATGTGGGGCCGCCCCCAATGGGGCCACGACGCGTGTGAGGGTGCACCAAAGTGGGGCAGATCGCCATGTGAACACAGCCACGAGGGCCTTGTGTGAAGCTCCCTGCGGCCTCAAAGCGTGTGAGGTGTCTATGAGAATGTGGCGGATCACCATGTGAACCCACCCACTGGGGCCTTCGGTGGAACTCCCTGTGGGACAACAAACGTGTCAGGGGTGAGACGACATGATGACGATGATGACGATGATGGTGATACTGATGGACTCTGCTCGATGCATTTTTCCGCAGTGGCCAGGGGTTTCTGTAAAAGGGAAATGAATCGGGCATGCAAGAGCTAGCTCACCCTCTCGCCCACCGGGGCCCTCCCAGCCACTGCCAGGAGCGCCCACAGGGGCAGGAGAGGAGACAGCGCCCGGAAAACATCTTCCAGCCAGGCTGAGCCTCGACTGGCGAGCGAAAAGGGCGGGCAGGGCGGGCGAGCCGAGACGCTACGGACCACTCCCTGCTGCAAGCCTCCCCCCCGACTCTCACCACGTCCAGGGGGGGCGCACGACTTCTGAGCGGAGTGGTCCCTACGCCTGCGGCCACTGCCCCCCCCCTCGCTCCGTCCATACTCATGGGGGCATGGCACATGGACTCTGCTCGATGCATTTTTCCGCAGTGGCCAGGGGTTTCTGTAAAAGGGAAATGAATCGGGCATGCAAGAGCTAGCTCACCCTCTCGCCCACCGGGGCCCTCCCAGCCACTGCCAGGAGCGCCCACAGGGGCAGGAGAGGAGACAGCGCCCGGAAAACATCTTCCACACACCCCTAACCTGGATGCCAAAAATTGGCAGCCGTCTCCAACAATCTGTGTTGCGGAGGCGTGAGTCGGAGGTCCGATAGGGCAGCCAAGCCTTCGGTTATGTATAAGCGGGCCGTGCGTGAATTTGACCATCGTCCGCGCACCATTGTGCGGTCGAGGCGCCCATGGTGGGAGAAATCGTGAGTTGCACCACCTCGCCGGAAAGAATACATGCCATACCCGTGTTCGTCCAGCTGCAGTTCTCGGCATATCTCGCGGAAAATCTGCCGCTGCGACGGGCCTGACAAGCTGCACACCAACTGCCCAGGTGGCAAATCACGCACGACACGCTGCAAATGAGCGGCCACGATACTGTCAGAAATTGTGACCGACTCTTGAGCGCCCTGCCGCGCCCCGGTCTTGGTGAGCCTTAAGTTGAGCACGGCGTAGTTGGAGCCCTGCCCAAAAATGATGTCGCCAGCTCGCAGGGCGAACATCTCACCTGAGCGGAGGCAACAGTGGAAGCCAACAAGCCATAGAACTCCTAAGGCGTAGCTTCGCTGGACGGCCGCGTAGCCGGCGATACCCAAGGCAACCTTTTTACTGAGAGGGGGGGCCCTGACTGGTAGTTCAGCCCGGGCCCACGCCCCCAGGAGCCGCCAGCTACCGTTCAGAGCTCTCCTGTACCGGGGCATGAAATGCTGGATCCCCGCAACCAAATCATTTGCATAGGCTTTGGGGTCGCCCTCTGCCCACAGCACTTCAATGTAAGCCATGAGCTGCTCATCGAGATCGGCCTCAACACTCGGGTCATCGAGCTCGGCCGATCGCCAAATTAAGAAACCTTTCACCTGTTGCCGATACCGGGCAAGAGTCCCGGCTGTGACTACCTGGTCTTGAAGCTTGCCGAGAGAGGCGCGCGAAGCGGCGCGCCCAGCCTTCCTCGTGGCCGCGGCGACCTGCTTAGGACTCATGGCTGGATGCAGGGTCCCCCGCGGCCCTCCCGGGAGCGTCTCGGGGGGCCTCGTATCGGCCACGCGGCCGGGACAACCTCCCAGGGGCACGGGAAGGGCCGTCGGCCGGGTTGGCCTTGCTCGCTACGTAGCCAAAGAATGGCCACAGGAAGGCAGCTAGGCAATACGCATCAAGACGTCGCAACAGGTGGTTCAAACGCCTCGAGGATGACCGCCCCTTGGCGCAAACTGCAAGAGTGACCTGAGAGTCCACCAAAATGGCGACCCTGCTTCCGAGCCGGTCCGCCCTGCGGCAAAACCATTTCACAGCAAGCAGGACCTCGGCCAACTCGAGCTCATTAATGTGGCGGCCCTGCCGGCGCCAAGCGTGGCTCAGGACAGTTTGCCACTGCCATCGTTCGACGTCTATCGGAGCCCGCGGCCACGCGCTCGGGCGGAACGGCAGACCCAAGTCCAGCCGCACATCGCTCCCGCGGTGGTCAGCTTGCCGCAACAGACCGTGAACTACATACTTTTTCGCAGCAGTCTCCGAAACTGGGCCGCTCTCTGGCCACGCCGGCCCGGCCTCCGTCTGGGCCGCTGCCCAGCCCTTTGGCGTGAGCGATGCCCCGACACACGTCCCGCCACCGTACTCTGAGGCGTCGGTCGCGAGCGGCTCCGGATGCAGGACGGCCCGGAGGTCAGCGAATAGCAGAGGGGAAATAGCCATGGCAATGTACAGCTCATCCCCAGAGGTACGCGATATGGGGTGCCGCCCTCGCCACTCTGACATCTCCTTCCAGATGCGATCGAATGCGCCGAAGGCCGGCCGCCGATGCCCGAAATCGAAACACCACCGGCCAGCGGCAGCGGCAAGCCAGATCGCCTTGCAGTCGGGCCGTGCGAGCACCCAGCATGTGAGAGCGAGGTGGAGAAGGAGCTTCTCGAAGGTGGGGCTCACGCGCCCGCGCCGCCCATCCACGGCTGACCCCATCGACGTTGCAAGGAAAGACCGCTCGACTGTCTTGTCCTCGTTCCGGCGAATGCCCCACTGGGCAAGGGCATCCCGAACGGCGACCTGCTCGACGCTGAGAGTCCCCTGGAGGTCCTCAGCCTCGCCTTGCACCATCACCTCGGCGATGTCAACGTTGTCGATGTAGACCTTCCACCACATCCGTGGCAAGTGCTGGAGACGCAGAGGAAATCGTGCGTCGCGCCGGAGCTCCGCGGACTCGTCGAGGCTGGTGTTGGTCAGCGTGCCGCCCGTGACGATGCGCCTCGTGAGGTGTTGCACGATGCCGACGGCGGATAGCCACCCCATCGGCACAGCCGCCACCGACACCCAGATCGGGGGCCCTGTGGCCCTACCGAGGGCCGCCGGGGCAACGGGCCGCGAGAGCGCCATCCAAGGTCGCCAACATGCCGGCAACTTAAACACGTGGAAACATCCTTTGATGTCCTCACTTGACCAAACGAGCAACTCCCCGTCCTCGATGACGGTGACGTGGTGCTCTCCGCCCACGGGCAGGAGCTTGATGTCACCGAGGATCGGCACCTGGACCCGGTTGCTTGGGACCATGTTGATGATGAGCCGCAGGACCCTCGTGGCTGGCGGCATGGGCGTGCCGCTCTTCACGACCCCGAAGGCGCCGTTCAGGATGGGTTGACCCCCGACCCTCGCGATGGCGTCGTGCGGGATCTCTTCGAGGACCCCACGCTCCAGCAACTCCTTGACGATGACGTCCCAATCAGCTGCCTCAGCATGTACTTTCGCCGGCGGCTGGGGACCACAGTGGCCGCCCACATTGCACACCAGCTCAGGGTGAAGCAGCGCGTGAACGACCTCCTCGGACGCAAACTCCAAAGGGTCGACTGAGGCGGCCTCGCCGCGCGGCGGCAAGCCAGGGAGGAGCTCCTGCAGCGTGAGCTTCTCCGGCATCGAGACCTCGTGGCCCTCGTAAGAGAGCCGCTTCCTGCCGAGCATCTGGTCGAAGTCGATCTTCGGCGACCGTCCGAACGCCCCTGTCTCTTCGGAGCGGCGGTCGACGTGATAAGTGCACGCCTCCTTGATCTTCTCGAGAGCTCTGATCTGGGATTGGTTGGCCGGCCCCGCGCGCCGGCGCAGGTCCACGAGCTTGTCCGCCCCCGCGTACAGGAAGTTGAGGGCCGATATGACGAGGATGACCCAGCTGCCGATGCCTGCAAGCCGAGCTCGCTCGTCACGCCCCTGATGCCAACTGGACGGGAGCGACCGCCCATCCAGCTGTTCCATGGCCATCTCGACAGCGTCGTCCCCCCACGGGACAGGGAGAGGAAGGACATCTCGCTGTCGCTTGCCTCCCTGCCATAGCTGGCCGGTGAGCTGTCGCCTCACGCACTCGCCGTAGGGGGAGCCGCGCCGCCGAGCAGCCTGGAGGATGTGCCTGCCCAGCTGACCCATCGTCTTGCCACCTGACGCCGCGGCCCCAAGTTCGTGGAGCTCCCCTGTCAGTGGCGCCATGGGGCTGTCGCCGAGGCAGGGGTCAGAATCACGGGCGCCCTCCTCTCTCGATCTGCGCTTGGCGCCCACGTCGTGCGCCTTTGCCCTCCGCGACTCCTGCTGCGGTGCGGGTTGCCGGGCCAGCCCGCCGACCCCTCTCCAAAGGTGCCGGGGGCTGGCCCCCTGCGACCCTCCCCGCCGCCGTGGCCCGCCCTGGGACTCCGCCAATCGCCAGGGGGCCGATCGGCAGGGGGCCGGCTCAGAGTCGCGGATCGCTCGCCACGGAGGTCGGCTCCAGGGGGGCGCGGCTCCGCCGAGAGGACGGGGGCAGCTCCAGGAGCGTTCGCAGAAGCCTGCCCGCGCCCTAGGCCCGCGCGCCGCCGAGCCCGTCTCCGCCAGGTGGCCTTGTTGGCCCCTGGAGGGGGGCCCGTGCGACCCTGTGCCGATCCTCCTCCTCCTCCTGCTGATCCTGCTCTGTCGTCGTCCTCCTTGGGGCCCTCCTCCCGGAGAGCTGGGCTCGCGCCCTGGGCCGGAGGCGGCCCGGGGGCGCGCCCGGACCGTCAGGCAACGCCGGGCGGGCTTGCCCTCGTCCGGGTCCTCGTGGCGGCCTCCGCGAGCTTGACCCTGTCCAGCTCTATGCGCATGGCGGCCGCCCGCTCCCTCTCGCTGGCCAGCCCCACGTCGGAGCTGGGGATGAGCTCCTGGTGCCGCGCGATCGACCAGCCCCCGTCGCTGACCGCCGTCTCCAAAGCCTTGAATCGCTGCACGAGCACGTCTCCCAGCCGTGGGAGGTCCCCGTCCAGGAGGGCGTCCAAGCATTCGCTGATCGTGCGGAGCTCCCGCACATTGCGGATGCCGATCGTCTCCACGCCGTAACGCTGGAAGAAGACGCTGATGAGGTACTGCGTGATCTTGCCGTGCTGCTGCTCGCTGCTCGCCGCCGCGGACGCCCCCCCCAGAGGTGCCAGGTACCGCTGCATCTCCTGCAGGGCCCTCTGGAGCAGCACACCCGGGTACCGGCGCGCAAAGACTGCCAAGTCGATGTGCGCTCTGGGAGGGGCCGAAGGAAAATCCGTCTCCTCATCGCCCTTGTCCGCGAAAGCCTTCCGGAGCAGCTTCTCCAACTCCTCCTCCCTCACCGTATCTTTGGGCAGGGTCGCGCCACTGGCATGCTGGTCGGCAGCACGTTCGTACAGGCCCTCTGCGAAGCTCTTCTTCGCCTTCCGGGGCTCGCCGCGGCGGCTCCGAGACCGACGATCCTCGCTCCGAGTCCGCCGGTCGAGATCGTTTTTGAGCTTGTCGAGCCTCCCCTTGAGCTCCTCGCGCCGGGCGTCCAAGCCTCGAGGAGGAAAGGGATCCTTCCCGGCGCGGCCCGGCTCGTCGAGCAGAGGGGCCCCACCAGGATGACCCGCCGACCCCGCACCCCGTGCAGGGCGAGCTCCACGCGCCCCCCGAGCCTCTGGGCCCGGGGCGCGGGGCTCACACTCCTGCCCAGGGATTCCGAGCTCCTCCGGGAGGCTGAAGTAGTCCTTGCCGTTGTTGTTGTCCTCCCGGTGCCGCCACTTCCCGACGTGGTAGACCTGCCGGGAGCCCCACGCCTCTGGGCATACCTCCGGCCTGTCATAGCAGCAGAAGTGCACGCACCCTGAGCTCCCGTCCTGCTGGAAATCCTGGTTGAGCACCTTGCCGAAGCTCTCCTTGGACGCCCCCAGCAAGCAACCCTCCCGGAAGAAGCCGTACTCGTTGGGGGGCGGGGCCCGGGGCCGGCCCCCGAGAGGCTTCAGAGACAAGGCGAATGGGCCCGTCTCCTGATCTTTACCCCGCCGAGGCGGCCCGCTCAAGGCGCAGACCTCGATGATGTCGTCGATACCGTAGTCCTTGAGGCGGTCGTAATCGTCGGCGTCGGGCTCCTTGAAGGAGCCTGCCTGGGCCTTGCCGTCCGCAGCCGTGCGGGGCGGGTCAGGCGGGGCGCCCCCTCTTGGCGGCGCCCGGCTGCCTCCACGCCCACGGCCACGCGGGGAAGCCCCAGCAGGGGGGGCAGCCCTTCCGGGGGACGCCCGACCGCCTGCTCCCTCACGGCCGCGCCGCGCGCCCACAGCCGCTGGCCGGCGGGAGACACTGCGGCCTCCGCCGCTGCCAGGCGGCGGCATCGTATATGCAGGGAGGGGGCCCCCTAGGCCCCAGTCCCAATGAGATTTGAAGATATGGAAAAAGGCTGCGCTCGCGCGCCAAAACCTGGGGAGAGTAGCAAGCTCGAGCCGAGACGCTACGGACCACTCCCTGCTGCAAGCCTCCCCCCCGACTCTCACCACGTCCAGGGGGGGCGCACGACTTCTGAGCGGAGTGGTCCCTACGCCTGCGGCCACTGCCCCCCCCCTCGCTCCGTCCATACTCATGGGGGCATGGCACATGGTGATGATGATGGTGATGGTGAAAATTATGGCGATACTGATGCTGATGCGGATGATGATGATGATGATGATGATGATGATGATGATGATGATGATGATGATGATGATGGTGGTGGCGGTGGTGATGATGACGAGCGATGGTGATGGTGATGGTGATGATATTGATGATTATCAACATGATGATGGTGATTGTGGTGATTCTGTTTTGTTCATTTATTAATAGATTCATTCATCAACTCACTCATTGAATCCGTTCATCCCGTGACAAGCTCCCTGGCCAGCACAAGGTCCGGACAACGAGATTGCTTACAACCTGGAACTCGGGTCTGTGGGCTCTGACCCCTCTCGGCCACTGAGAGTATGCGTCTCAACTCACCACACGAACAAAAGCACAACCACTGATCTGGCACTCTATGGCACTAGCCGCTAGCCCCATGAGCATAGCCTCCCGTAGAGGTCCAAGGAATGATAGTGATGCTGCTGCTGCTTACGATGATGACGACAGTGATGATGGTGGTGATGATGGTGATGATGGTGGTGATGGTGATGGTGATGGTGATGACGACGATGACGATGATGATGATGCTGATGATGACGATGATGATGACAATGACGATGACGATGACGATGATGAGGATGGTGAGGATGGTGAGGATGATGAGGATGATGAGTGATGAGGGGGGTGAGGGGGGTGAGGATGAGGATGAACGATGATGGTGGTAACGAGAATGAAGGCGAGTATGCTGACGACGATGATGGCGACGACGAAAATTACGCGGATGACATGGATGAGGAAAAAGAGGATATGGGGAAGGAAGGGGAGGAAGCAAGGAAGGACGGAAGGACGGAAGGACGGAGGAGACGCGCGGCGCTGCTAATACAAAACGAGGACCCAACGCACAGGAGGGTCGGGAAAAGGGGTCCAGGCGCTCCCTTGGGCCAAGCCTCCGAGTCAGCCCTCAGGCGGCTCTGCGGTTCCCTCTGGCTCGTTACCGAGAACGCGGCTCGGCACAACGGGGCGAGTGGCCCAGGCCACAGGAGGAGGAGAAGGAGGAGGAGGAGGAAGGAGGAGGAGGAGGAAGGAGGAGGAGGAGGAGGAGGAGGAGGAGGAGGAGGAGGAGGAGGAGGAGGAGGAGGAAGGAGGAGGAGGAGGAGGAGGAGGAGGAGGAGAAGGAGGAGGGAGGAGGAGGAGGAGGAGGAGGAGGAGGGAGGAGGAAGGAGGAGAAGGAGGAGGGAGGAGGAGGAGGAGGAGGAGGAGGAAGGAGGAAGGAGGAGGAAGGAGGAAGGAGGAGGAGGAGGAGGAGGGGGGAGGGGCCCGACCGCGCATCCCGGCGCGCCGCTTCGCGGCTCGGCGTTCGGGGGCGCGGCAGCAGCGGCCTGCGCGCTCGGGCTCGGGCGCCCCGCGGCCCCTGGGGAGCCGCGCGGCCCGAAGCCCCCATGGCCAAGGGGTGTCCCTCGCGCCGTCGTCGGCGGGGGAGGACTTGCCATCGCTCGGACGTCCACTCCCTGTGGTTTCTTCGGTTTCGTGCGTGGTTTTTTGGCCAAATGATCAAGGATGCTCCTCGGTGTTTCTCGCCGAGAGAAAATGCACACGTCCGAGCGATGCCAGCAGGAGGAGGGAGCTGTTTTACCAGCCTCGAACGTATCCCTATCCCTAAGATCGACACGCCAGAAGGCGAGGACAATCTTAGGGATCCGCCCTCGAAAAATAAGGGAAGCCCTAAGATTGGCATCGTGATGAGGAGGTGCCCAGCATAGGGATAGGGATATGTTTCAGACTGGTAACTGGTTGCTCAATGTGCGGCGCCAGGGCTCCCAACCGCTGGCCCGGGTCCAGTGTTCCTTTTCGGGGCTCGTTTTTCCTGGCCTCGGGCATGAAGAACGCCCCCTGGAAGCCGACTGTGAGGGAACATGCCGAAACTTGAAAAAATAATCACATGACGAGAAGCCCAACCATGTACAGATTTGTGAAGACCGCGGTTGCGAGTACCTGTCTTCGGTGGAGCTCCCCACGGGGCCAAGAAGCGCGTGAGGCATCTGCTGAAATTTGCTCGGCGGGGCCATGCGGGCGCTGCCGCTGGGGTTTCTGGTGGAGTTCCCCACGGTGCCACGGAACGTGTCAACGGCGTTCCGAAATGGGCGCGGCGGGGCCACGCGGGCGCTGCCAGTGGGGCCGCCAGTGGAATTCCCTACGGGGCCACACATTGAATAAAGGGGGCGTGCAAAAACGGATGCGGCGGTGCCACGCGGGCGTGTCACTGGGGCCGCGAGTGGAGCCCCCTTATGGGGCCGCGAAACGTCTAAGGGGTATGCCAGAACGGCCTCGGCGGGGCCACGTGGGCGCTGCCACCAGGGGGGCGCTCGGTGGCATTCATTCGGGGCCACGACACGTGAGAAGGGCGCGCATGCATATTTCTCAAGCAGAGGACAGGAGCATGGAAGGGAGGACGGGGGATGGTGGAGGGGGAGGAGGACAGAGACGCGGGGCGCTGTTTTCAAAACGACGACCCAACGCCATAGGATGGTTGTTGCACACCATTCCGGAAGTCTGAGATGCCGAAGGCTGACCTGGGAGACCCCGCGGAGGCTCACACGTTCTCAGAATATGCCCCCGATATATGTGTATATATATAAATATAAACAATTATCCCAGCGCGACCCGACCTAGGAGTTGGACCCCTAGGAAAACAGCATTAGTAGCAACGGTAAATCTAAGCGAAAGCTAAGCTGAAGCTCAGCTAACGCTGAGTTAAAACTAAGCTAAAGCTCAAGCTAAGTTAAAGCTATGCTAAAGCTAAACTGAAGCTAGGCTAAAGCTAAGCTAGAGCTAAAGCTAAGCTAAAACTAAGCTGAAGCTAAGCTAAAGCTAAGCGAAAGCTGAGCTAAAGCTAAGCGAGGGCTATCATGACGCTAAGTAAAGGCTAAGATAAAGCTAAGCGAGCGCTTAAGCTAAAGCTAAGCTAAAGCTAAGCTGAAACAAGGCTAAAGCTAAGCTAACGCTACGCTAAAGCTAAACTAAAGCGAAGCGAAAGCTAAGCTAAAACAAAGCTAAAGCTAAGCGCTAAGCTAAGCTAAGCTGCAGCTAAGCGAAGCTAAGATGAAGCTAAGTTGCAGCTAAGCGAAGCGAAGATGAAGCTAAGCTGAGCTAGTATAAGCTAAGCTAAGATGAGATAAGCCACGCTAAGCTAAGGGGACGTAACTGGGGGAACCGCGGGGCGGATCCTGGGGGAACTGCCCGGGGCGGGTTCCACTGCCCGGCCCTTTAAGCACACCGAGTAAGAACCCTTTTAGGCAGAGCCTAGGTAAGGGGAAACAAACGCCCCCACCGACTCCCGCGGCGAGAGAAGACGGGCGGAGGCGGGGGGGGGCGAGGAGAAGGAGGAAGGTGAAGAGGATAATCTGGAAGAGGAGGGGGAAGGGAAGAGGAGGAGAAGGAGAAACGGGAGGCGGAAGGGGGATCTATTCCACTGTAGCGCGCGCGCCCTGTCAGCATCCAAGCCCACGCAAGTGGGCCAGACATGCACGCAGAGAAGAGTAGGGAACCAGCAAAAAGGGAAGCAAGAGAAACAACAAGGTGCCGCAACGGGCACTTTGCGCAAGGAGTTCGCTGTTCGTGCACGCGCGCAACCATCACATTGGAAGGACATCGTGGTTCGAGCGATTCGCCGCTCCTGCGCGAGAGCCGCCATCGCCCCCCACCAAGCAACGGGCCCAACCCGCCACGGCAGCAAAGCAGCAGCACAAAAAGGGCCACGCCCCACAAAGACGATGACACAACAGAGGAGAGGACCCAGCGACTCAGGAGCCTCGAGCCACGTCGGGAACCTGGCGCGGCGAGGCTGGACAGGCGCGGACGACGGCGGCAGGGCGCCGCAGGTGCTTCGAACTTCGTCGGGAACGCGGCGCGGGCGGGCGGGCGCAACGCACTCCGGGCCAGAGCGCTCTAGGCGCCGCGCGCCGCCTGCAAGCGCGCGCGCGCGCTGCACGCTAGCCCCCCGAGGCAGCCAGCCAGCGAAATGCCGCGCTCCACTCCCTGTGCCGAGAGACCGACCGCCGACAAACCGACGGCTCGGTCAGGGAGCCAAGCTTCAAGTTTCACTCGGCAGTGGGCGGCAGGACGGGCGGCGGGGCGGCCTGCGGGGCGGGCGCGGCAAGGGGTGCGAGAGAGGCAGCGGGTGGCCCCCCCGTCGGCCCCAGGCCGCGCGGCGAACGGAAGAGGAAGAATCAAGAACACAAGACGGGCGAAAAGCAGCGCAGATGACGGAAAGTCGCGCGGACAAGGGCCAGCGCCCACTAGACACCCACCCGGAACTAGGAGACCGCGCCAGGCCCTAAATTAACAAAAAAAATGCCCAGAGAAAGCGCCCGCCAAATTTCGGCATCGACTGAAGCTCCGGAAAACAATCGGCCAAACGAGAGGGACCCGCGAGGGTCGCCAGAACAACCGACATCGCACAGGAGCTGGGGCCGCGGGGGGGGGGGAACAAGTGGCGCCGCGGAAAATTGAGTGACGCAGAATG